ACACAGCTCCGCTCGAGTTCTACTCGGAAAGACACGAGTGCGCCCACTCCATCTGCACTTCGGTGGCTACTCAGTGCAGTTTGGGGGTGTGGCCCCCCTCAGATGAGACACTTCGAGATGGAGCCTTGTGATCTGGAGGCATCCGGCATGCTCCTGCAGGCCAGAAGCTGGAAGAGATTACAAGCTCGTACGATGAAAGGACTGGGCATCTGGGTAAATGACTATCCGGAGCCCCAGTGGCCGAGGGCTTCTGATGCGTTGGACGTAAGGGCAGCTGTGCCAAACCACCAGTTGCTCCTCGGGATGAAGATGGGACTTCCTACTCCCACAAAGAGTTACCGCCTGGGAAACCCACAAGGGCAGTTCTCCCGTGTCCTCCAGTACCGCTTAGAGCTGACATTGACTTGATGGTAGTGATTGTTATCATCGGTCTTTCAAGCCCAGCCCCAGAATCCACTTCGCATCCTGCCCTTGGGGACAACTTGGCTTTGTATGGGTCCGCCCCTACCCTACCCTGGTTGCACTGTCAGAGTGACCATTTCTCCTTGTGCTGAAGCATTGGCTGCCCAGCCCATCCTCAGCCAACCCCTGGGCAGATGACTGAATTTAAAGCAGGGTTTGGAACTGGGAGGAACCAATGCTGAGCCCTGGTTGAAAGTCATCCGTGAGAAGGGAGCTAAGGGTTTCTGAAGCTTCAGGTGTGTGAGGAAGGCACTTTACCTGCTTGTTCATGAAACAGTAGATGATGGGGTTGTAGACACAAGCGCTCTTGGAGAAGAAGGCAGGAATGGTGACGAGCCTTAAGTCCAACCCGTGGTTACGGTGGTTGACCATGTACATGGCCAAGGCAGCATAGGGCACGTAACAGAGACAAAAGGATCCCACCATCACCACCACCATGCGGCTCACCTCCCGCTCGGCCTTCTGGGTCGAAGCTGACTCCTGCTGCTGAGCTGCAACCTGGGGCAGAGCACACAGTGAGGCCATCATTTCCTTCCTCCCTGGCCATCCAGTCCCAGTTCCCTGGACGTTTCTCTCCGGGAGCATCCACTCCAATTGGCATTCTCATGTCTCAGCTTCTGGCCCAGGCTCTACTCTCCTATAGGGTGGCAGGATGGAGGGGGGCGGGGGGTGCTGCTCGCCGTCTGTGATCTTGAAGGGATCTCGTGCACCCTGACATTCAGACACACTTCTGGGGCCAAGGATGACATCACCCTACTCTTCATGTCATCTTCCTTCACTAGACTGGGAGCATCTCCAGATGCTTTGTGGTCTAGAGCACTCCGCTCCTTTCTTCCACCTGGAGCCCCCCCACTCCAGCCCCGGCCTGCGCCTCCCTGGCCCTCACAACAGCCACTCACAGCTCGGAGGGCTCTCAGCAGCTGGAAGTAGGAGAAGCATATGAGGGACAGGGGCACGATGAAGCAGAAGATAAAGAGGAACCAGGTGTAGTGCTCACTGCGATACTTGGTGCCCACGGTGTACCAGTCAGGGCCACAGGAGCACTGCAGCCCCTCTGGGATGAACCTGCGAGGAACACGGGCATCAGCTACAGTGCAAGCCCTTCCTTGCTCCCTGTGGGGCTCAGCACAAGACTCAGTGGAGAGGGGCCCGCGTCGCGTTCTCCACATGGAACCCGGAGATGCAGCAAGCTTTGGGGCGGGATGCTCTGTCCTCCCCAGCACAGGGCTCAATTCATTCCAGCCCCAGAGGACATGTTGGCATGTGTCTCCCACAGCCCCACAGTCTCACCTACTCCACCGACGCTTTCAAAGTGGAAGCCAAAGACGCAAAAGCATGCTACCCAAGCTCTCTCTCCACCCACATCAGCCCAAGCTCGGAGCTAGTCAGCACAGGGCCCTGCCCGCTCACCGGCTCCAGCCAAAGAAGGGCGGAACGGAGACACCAATCCCGAGGGTCCAAGTGGCCAAGACCACCAACAGTGCATGCTGGGAGCTGAAGCGGACGTTGCCCAAGGGTTTACAGATGATGAGGTAGCGTTCAAGGGCCAGGAAGGCCAGGGACCATCCTGTCACCAGACCTGCGGTGAGATGTAGTGGAGTAGACAGAGCCCTACCCAGCCAGCAGAGTCAGAGAGGGTTGGACTGGTGGTGGGAATAGAATGTGGGTCTCAGACGCCTCTGTATCCAGCCCAATAGTCAAAAGAACACCCAGCCCCATTCTCCTAGGCTCCAACCCAACAGCCTAGTCCCTGATTCCAACCCTGGAGCCTGGCCTTTGCCTCCTCACCCTGGGCTTTTCCCAACAGTACCTGCTACAGAGCCCAGGAAGGCCTCCAACGCGCAAACATGGCGACCAAAGATGAAGTACCCATGACAGCTGGCAACGAAGACGGTGAAGACAGAGATGACACAGAAGAGGACACTCGCCAAGGACACATTGACCAGAATGTAGTTGAGCGGCTGCCGCAACTTTCTGTAGCGCAGTGTGGCCACCAGCACCACAGCGTTGAGTGGTGTCCCAACAAAGAAGACGAGGCCCATGAAGGCGGCCTGGAGGTGGAAGGCCCAGACGGGGGCAATGTGGTACTGAGGCCCATCCCAAGGCCCCACCGAGGAGATGTTCTTGAAGAGATAAAACTCCTCGTCCCCTGACATCTTGCTCATGGGATGCCCCCACCCCGCTGATTCCTCTTATAGTTTATCCTTTGCCTAACCCCCCCAGCGCCCCCGCACAGAACCCCTCCTCCAAAGCCACTTTGGGGCTCTGGGAAGGATCAGTACTGATCCTAAGCCTCCTAGGGACAAAGTTGGCGATTACCAATCCCAAAGCTGATTGTGTTCTTCAAAGGAGAACAGATTGGGCCCCAGATGGCCAGATGTGCAGTGCTGGGTGCTAGGGTGAGCAGGAGTGGGCTCCCGGGGCCTGGGCAATGCTGACGAAAGCTTAACAAAGATGCGTCCCTCTACGTGGTTTTCCTTCCGCCTTTGAGTGTCACTCCAGAGACCATTCCTCTCCCTCTGTCTCCTAGCACCTATAGGAAGCTGCTGGAAGAAATGACAGCCCACTTAAATGGAAAGCTAGATCACCGTGTTTATGGGACAGGAGACTCGATGTTAATAAGATGTGGATTCTCCCCCCAAGACGGCTTTCTAGATTCAACACAATCCCAACAAAAATCCAGCATGTTTTTTTAATTTAATTTCTGTAGAAACACAAAAGCTTAGAATACATCTAAGTGAAACTGAGAATCTAGTCCATCCAGAACAATGTTAAAATAGAAAATAACATAGAAAACAAAGCTTTTGGGAATTAGGATCCCTGATGTCCAAAGTAACGGTGCAGCTGCAGTAATCAAGCTGAGGCAAAACTGAATGAAAACTAGACCAGACATAAAACAGATACTGTGCTCGCTTCGGCAGCACATATACTAAAATTGGAACGATACAGAGAAGATTAGCATGGCCCCTGCACAAGGATGACACACAAATTCGTAAAGCATTCCATATTTTTAAATAAGCTCATCTATTAAAAAAAAAAAAAAACTCAGATACTAGAAGCGAGGCCAGAAGAAAACCCAGGTATCATTGCCTTGCAACACACGTGCCATGGTTACCCATCAGGTGAGGGGAGAATGGTATTACAAACAGTGCTGTTGTAATTGGATATTCCCAAATGCCAGGAAGAAGAAAGGGGAGTGGGAAACCTTGACCCTCACCTCACCCCACATACCAGGAGTGAACAGAAATGGATGACAGACCAAAGGAAGAGTCAATCTTAGGAAATTGACAGAAGAATCCACAAGGGAAGTATTGGTGACCTTGGCGTAAGCAGACGTTTGTCAGGCAAACCGGACGGACAGCACCCAACCATAAAAGAAAAAACCTGACTTGGTGTATGTTTCTCATTCCAATGTGGGACTTCTGCTCCCCAAATGATACACTGAGAAAGTGAAAAAGACAAGTTGCCGATGGCAAGAGAGGTCTTGGCCAAGGGCGCATCGGATCGACGATGTGTATCCAGACTACACCTGGAAAGAACCCTTGGTACACAAAGCACAGCGAGAATGAGGAGGAAGAAAACCTTCTAAAACGGACTGTGGCCATCATTGTGCCACCTTGCTCGATAGGGTCAAACCATTGGTGGTCGGATATGTGGATGCGGTGCCCAAAAACTGTCCCCTTACGCCGCCCCCCCCCAAAGAAGAACTCTTGAAACTCAAGTAAAATGTGCAAATGAATCAAGCAGACCCTTCCCCAAGGACAGGCAGACGGCGAACCAGCACAGGGAACGCTGCTGAAGGACATTAGTTGTTCAGACTTGGATGAGACACCGCTACATCCACCTGAAAGGACTTACAGGTCAAAAGCTGAGAATCACAAGTCTCAGGGCAGACGGGGAGCAACGTTAGGCTCCTCCGTTTGCTTTTCACGAAGTCGAACACATAACCAAGAGGCGAAACCTGGGAAGACTGGCCTGGGGATCGCGTTGTCCTCCACGGAGCAGGCCCACTCTGCACACCCGCCATCGCCACGAGTCAGGACCGACCGATTCCACAGCAACTACCAGCCACCACCTCACTCACTCGCTGCCACCAAACGACCCCGACTCAAAGGCGGAGTAGAACTGCCTGTTTGGATTCTCAGACGTTTGAATCATTACGGGAGCAGGCAGCCTCTCGTTCTCCTGGGGAGCGGCTGGGAGGTCCCTGGTCTTGTAATTCGCAGCCCAGTGTGTGGCCCACTATGACACCAGACCTGCTGAACCATCACTGGGTGTTTGCTGTTAGGGGCCAAGTCGGTCCTGGCCCATAGCGACCCTGTGCCCAACAGAAGGCAACGCAGCACGGTCCTGGGCCGTCCTCACAGTTGTCACGCCTGAGCCCATTGCAGCCACAGGGTCAGTCTAGCTCATCGAGAGCCTTCAAGCTCTTGGTCACCGCCCCTCCACTTCACCAAGCAGATGTCCTTCTCCACGGCCTGCTCTCCCCCGACAATATGTCCCAAGGACATTAAAACGAAGTCTTGCTATCCTTGCCTCTAAGGAGGCACTCTGGCTGCATTTCATCCCAAACAGATAGCTGGGTCCATGGGACTTTCCATATCCTTCTCCAGCACCACCCGGTAATCCCATTCCTGGATAACTCCGAGAGAAATGAAAGCACGTTAACACAGGGCCTACACAGGAGTGGTCCTATGGGCTTTAGTCCTAGTAGTCAAACATTAGAAACCCCATCCAACTGATAACTAAGCCGCTGATGAATAGGGTACTTTAATCCAACAAAGGCTTCCCCTCTGCGTGGCCCAGTTATCACGTCGGAGCCTGTGCTGGGGGGTTTTGGCAGCCGCCGGCAACGTGGGCTCTACACACGTCACATAAATGCTGCTACGGATTGGTGCCGAGCGCAGGCTTATGTTCACTCTGCCTTACGCCTGGCATTCCAGTTTGGGCAGGTCCTTACAGAGCACACAGGAGATCAATCCACACGGCTGGGGGACCAGGCTGGCCAGAAAGCTCGGAGCATGTGTGCTCTGCGGGTAATGAGGGGTGGGGCACGGTCTCCAGCGAACATCCAGAGGAGGGGCTCAGCTTCTCCCTCCTCTCTCTAGTCTAGGGGCGAACAAAAGAAACAGCCTTCCCAGGCCCCTTGCTCACCCTTAGCACAGGCATTTCTCAGAACATCCTCTACCACGAACAAGGAAAATTGGCTTTTGCTCAGCAAGAGGCCCGCTCATTCATACCTTTTAGCCCCCGCCCCCCTTTCCTACCTCCTCTTGGCCATAGTCCCCTCCAGACAAGGGACCGGGGTCAACATCTAAGCCTGGCCATCAAGGGTTACTGGTTGTAGTAGTCTGGGTACTTTGGAGAAACAAATCCACAGCGATTCATGTATAAGAGAGTTTTATGTAAAGAAAATGTGCATCATGAAAACATCCCAACCCAATGCTGCCCAAGCCCACAAGTCCAACATTAACCCATTCACCCAACACCAGTCCACAAAGTCCTCCACCTCACAAACAGAGGCAATGATGCCGACTGCAGGAGGAAAGCTGAGTCAGTAAACGGATAAGCATCTCAGCACTAGCAGGGGTCTCCACACGGCTGCTCCAGCACCCAGGGCTGCATCGGGATAGGTCCATGTAGCTTCTCCTTGGGGATG